CATCCATCCATCCATCACTATCTCTCCATCTCTCTTTTGCTATCTATCTATCTATCTATCTATCTATCTATCTATCATCTATCTATCTATATCTATCATCTGTCTATTTCTATAATAACCCCTTTTCCTCTTGCCCTTTGCTTCACCCTCTTTGCTGTGCTTTTCACCCCTGACCCCAGGTCTGGCCATGCCGAGACCCCTCGTCAAAGCGCCACCGAGAGACACCGCCTTGTCTGGGAAACGGGGTGGGGAGGGCAAGAGGTGGAAGTTCATTCACCGGCAAGTGTTTCCATTTAGTTCCAGATGCCAGCCTGACAGGTGCGCCTCTTGATTAATTCCCAGCTCCCTGTACCGTCCCTCCCAGTGGAGAGCAAGTGAAAGCTTTAGCGCTGGGGGGAGACGCACCGTCATGCACTCAGTCCAGTAGGGTCACAAGAGAAAGGGGAGCGGGATTTAATCCGCGTTGAGCCGTGGAGTGCCCCTTAAGCTGGGCAAATTGAGCTCTGGCAGCCTAATGCGGGTGGTGTGCCCACCCAAAAAAACTTGCGTACTGAATTCGAAAAGGTGCAGCGATTGTACAAAAAGGTCTGCCCCACGGATGATGGAGCAAGCTTGTTCTCTGGTCCTCCAAAGAGGAGGACCCAAACCAGCGGATTCAAATTTCAAGAAAGGGGATGCTGACTAAACATTAGGAGGAACTTTCTGACAGTGGATACCATCCGGTGGTGGAATAAGCGACATTGAAAAGTGGTGGACTTTCCTTTATTGGAGGGTTTTAAGCAGAGGTTAGAGGGCCATCTGTCAGGGATTCTTTAGCTGTGATTCCTGCATTGTAGGGGGCTGGATAGAATGACCCTTGGGGTCCCTTCCACCTCTACAATTCTAGTGGGTTCTAGTGATGTCACTCTGGCACTGAGCACTTACAGCTTGGGTTTCTACTGCTTTGCCGAATTTCATAACTGCCACGATATGCCTCTCTGCACTTTGTCCATGTTTTAGAACGTGACTTTTTACACACTGGTTGTTTTACCCATTTCATCATATGTGAAAGAGCTTTTTAGAAGGAGCTACCAAAAATCAGCTTGGGCGGGTATCCAGTACTAGTGCTACTCAGAGTAAAGGTAAAGGGACCCCTGACCATTAGGTCCAGTCGCGGACGACTCTGGGGTTGCGGCGCTCATCTCGCTTTATTGGCCGAGGGAGCCGGCGAACAGCTTCTGGGTCATGTGGCCAGCATGACTAAACCTCTTCTGGCGAACCAGAGCAGCGCACGGAAACGCCGTTTAGCTTCCCGCCAGAGCGGTACCTATTTATCTACTTGCACTTTGGCGTGCTAGGTTGGCAGGAGCAGGGACGGAGCAACGGGAGCTCACCCCATCGCAGGGATTCAAACCGCCGACCTTCTGATCGGCAAGCCCTAGGTTCAGTGGTTTAGACCACAGCGCCACCTGCGTCCCACTGCTACTCAGAGTAGGCCCACTGGAATTAATGCTCTTGGGGAGGAGGATGGGGACAAAGTGGAATCAGCGCCACCTGCTGTTGGACTCCCAGGCAACGCAGGCACTCTGTACTATTCTCCTGCACTCCAATCATCCTGTCCAAAGGACCAAGTCCAGTAATACCTGCTCTAGCTGCCAGCAGCACAGAATTTCTTTCAGATCCTTGTAGTCAGGGATGGTCGCTGCAGACCTGTGGCTCTGCAGATGCTGGTGTATCACCTGTGGCTCCCATCATCCCCAGAAATCATGACCAGGGGTACTGCCTGCCAGCTTCCTGCTTCTTAGTCTCAGTGTTGCTCAACACAGAACTCAGCAGGGAGGTAGACAGGGAGATAAACAGAGTGAGTTGGCTCCGCTTGTCATTGGTTCTGGCTCCACCTACCATTGTGCTCCCTACCTTCTGCCAGCGGGTCAGTGGTGATGGGTGTTGAAGCCCAGCAAGTTCTGGAGAGCCACAATTTTCTCATCCTTCATTAAAAAGAGACAGAGTTCAATGTCTTCTTGGGGAGCAGCAAAGGGAAGTGATGGTTTTGTTCAGGGATGGTTCTCCAGAAGCTGTTTGGTTCCATTTCCCAGCAGCCAGCATGGCCAATGTTCAGGAAGTCAAGGAAATTGGCACCCAACAATATCTGGAGGGCCACAGGTTGCTCATCCCTGCATTAAAAGAAGCAGAGTGCTGATGGAGGTAGCTTGGGGCACCAAAGACTAGTTCAGGGACTCCAACTCCCACCAACCCCAGCAGCCAGCATAGCCAACGGTCAGGAGGGATGAGAGTTGGGAGTCCAATAGCATCTAGAGCAGCAGTTCTCAACCTGTGGGTCCCCAGATGTTGCTGGACTACAACTCCCATCATCCGTGAGCTCTGGCCTTGCTAGCTAGGGGTGATGGGCGTTGTAGTTCAACAACATCTGGGGACCCACAGGTTGAGAAAGGCTGATCTTGAGGGTCACTGCTCTAGTACATCAGGCAGCTTTTAAAGTTAAACAATGAATATTATGAATGATGGCACATCCCATTCAGTTGAGGTGGGGGCTCCTCCAGATGGAAATGGATCTTGCCAGCAAAGTGAGTGATGCCAAGGGGGTGGGAGTGGGGAGTTAGTGGAGGAGCTGGAAGCTGTTTATCCTCTAGTTTGCCATGGAACTTTCTGCATCTAGTTTTAAAGCAGTGGGTGAAAATATCAGCCGCATCCACTGTTAATTCAAATACTGTTATTTATTTATTTTGCTGATACCATCATCTGTTGCTCTGCAGCTTCCACATTCAGTGTCATCTAAGAAAGGGGAATTTGCACACGCGCACACACAAAGCATTAGCACTGTTATCTGCCAGAATCTCTCCCGAGGAAACAGAGTTTGTCGGGAGTTGGATTTTGTTATTTTTTTCCTCCTCCTTGGCGTTGTTTGTGTATCGTCTTCGCTTCTCTTTCTATCTCTCTCTCTCCAAGCGCCTCTTTTAAATGTAAAGCAGCCATAGGCAAATTTTTGCTAATTTTTTTTATTTTGTGTGTATACGCCTTTTATCGTTCCGGTGATGCGCCCAGAGCCTTATCCACCGATAAGTGGATTAGTTGTTGAGCTAAACAAAAAAGGTGTCTGACAACTGGGAAGCTCCAAAGAACATATTTTTTGTTTTCCGAAGAATGGAACTGTGTTTTGTATTTGTGTTTCCTCCCTCTCTTCTCTGGCACTTCACGGAGAGGAACAGTTTGTTGCAAATATCAGGAGCGAAAAGAGCATGTACCTTGCAGCATTTTCCAACTTCATGCACAGCTAGTCATTCAGTTACAGAGTCATTGAATTGTAGAGTTGGAAGAGGGGCCAAAGAGCCATCTAGTCTGAACCCCTGCAATGCAGGAACCACAGGCCTGCTCAGAGTAGACCCATCCAAATCAACAGCCATGACTGAGATCTGTTGTTTTCAGTGGGTCTACTCTGAGTAGAGGATGCGGGTGGCGCTGTGAGTTAAACCACAGAGCCTAGGACTTGCCGATCAGTTCGAATCCCCTCGACGGGGTGAGCTCCCGTTGCTCGCTCCCAGCTCCTGCCAACCTAGCAGTTCGAAAGCATGTCAAAGTGCAAGTAGAGAAATAGGTACCACTCTGGTGGGAAGGTAAACGGCGTTTCTGTGCACTGCTCTGGTTTGCCAGAAGCGGCTTAGTCATGCTGGCCACATGACCCGGAAGCTGTACGCTGGCTCCCTCGGCCAATAAAGTGAGATGAGCACCTCAACCCCAGAGTCAGCCATGACTGGACATAATGGTCAGGGGTCCCTTTACCTTTACTCTGAGTAGAACTTCACTGGAGACAACCCAAGAGCGCGATGGGGGTTGATGCCCCTTGGGACTGGTGGAGCAGAAGGCAGGGAGCCCAGAAGTAGGTGGAGACAGAGCCAATGACAAATGGAGCCAATTCATTCTATTTTTCTCCCTGTCCTCCTCTCTTCTGAGCTCCACAGTGAGCAACACTAAGGAGGAGGATGCTGATCCAAATGGACCAGCCCCCTCTGGAGTAGAGAGTCTGGGGATTAGTTGGGCCAATGATCCAATTCCATCTTCTAAGGCAGCGGTTCTCAACCTGTGGGTCCCCAGATGTTGTTGGACTACAACTCCCATCATCCCTAGCTCTGGCCTTGCTAGCTAGGGATGTTGGAAGTTGTAGTCCAACAACATCTGGGGACCCACAGGTTGAGAACCAATGTTCTAAGGCAACCATCTCCTGCAGAACAAACTGCAGGGCCCCAGGGCAGAGAATATGCTTTGTACACAGAAGGTCCCAGGTTATATCGCTGGCATCTCCAATGAAACCCACATTCACTTCTGGCAGGCAGGGGGAAAGAAAGACAAAAGTAGGTGGGCAACCAACATAAAAATTATATTCATACAACGGGCAAGTTTCTGCATAAACCCTCACACCCATCTTGGTCTTCCAAGCAGGAAGCACCATCAGAGTTCAAGGACACAGCCCAGCCAAGACAAGTTTGCACTCGAGGAGGCTAAAAAACAGGCCTGGGGAAAATCCCCTGGGCTGGATAGAGAGGCTTGGAGAGCTACGTTTGACACACACCTAACCTCTGCCCTACCTGACCTACACATGTCTAGGATGGGGTCAGCAGGCAAGGAGGCGAGAACCATTTGCTGTTGCCTGCAGGAACCAGCAGGGGGCTCTAGACTAAAATAGTCATGAAGGGTTTGCGATGATGCAAGGTTTAAAGGTGCGGACGGCGCTGCTCTAAGACGTCTTTTAATGAAGTGTTATTCCCTCAATCTTCAGCCAAAAGGAACGGAAATTGCAGGCAGGGGAGGCACACACAGAAAAAAAACATGTAAAAGGTCCCCAGCTGGCAGTTAGAAGCATCTGCACTTAGCCTGAAGGCTCCAGCTGAGAGCTATTTCACCATTTATCTACATGTAATTATTGCTATGAGGTGCAGACATTAACACTGTCAAGAACAATTTACCCTGACATTTTTCACTTGCTCTATACCCTGATGGGTTTCCCGCCTCCCTCGCTCTCTCTTCCCTTCCCCCTCCTCACATGTATATGTATACAGAGAGAGAGAGAGAGAGAGAGAGAGAGAGAGAGAGAGAGAGCGCTAAATACAGTATATGATTTCTTGGCAAGGTCTAGGACCGTCCTCATCCAGGCGTCCCCTTCGCAACTCATTAAACTTCGAAATTTAATTCTGTCTGGGAGGGAGGGAGAGAAAGAGCGAGTCTGGGAGAGGACGGTGCGTGCACCTCAACCCCCCCCTCCCTTTTCCCAGCGCCCCGAACGCACTTTGCCTGGACACGCTACCGTAACCCTTCCCGCAGCACCATTGTCCACCTACCCCCGCAATGACAGTATAGCAGATCAAGCATTTCCACTCAACACAAACCGAATTTACCGGTTGCTGCGTTTTCAATTGGAATGCAATCTCGAGCATTAACCTTTGCTTTCGAGGCTGCCTCGAAAACACGGCCTGCCATTTAGAAGCCGAAGCTGGGAGCTCCCATCTCGATGGCAGCTGGTTATTGAGGAAGCCAAGCCGTCCTCCAGCTCACTTGCCCGCTCAACTAACCGCCTTCCCTGTCCCTCTCGCCTCCTCTGGCGGCCTAACTCTTTTCCATAATTTGCCCAACCGGTGACACTTTAAATTAAGGCTCCCAGCCCGCTCCTGAATCTTGATTTAACGAGACAGTTATTGTATGTTCCCTAATAAATATCAATTGCCTGTTTGGGGTGTGTTGGCGGGCAATGTGACAGCGAAACAAACCGTGACAGCCTCATCCCTTTGTCGCCAATATGTTGTGTGCAACCGATTGTTATTGTGGTGATAACTCTGCAATAGACAGGATCCACTATAGACCAGGGGCTCTGCCATTGGTATCTAGAGTGTTGTTCTTTGACCTTGGGTCCCCAGATGTGGGTGAACTACAACTCCCAACATCCACCGCCAGCTTAGCCCTATCTCAAGAATTATGGGAGTTGTAGTCCACCCACATCTGAGGACCCAAAGTTGAAGGACATTGATTTAGACCAGTCTTTCTCAACCTTAAATCCCCATATGTTGTTGGACTACCACTCCCATCATACCTGACTGCAGGCCCTTCTCACTAGGGATGGTGGGAGTTGTAGTCTGATGTCATCTGGGGACCCGAGGTTGAGAGAGGATGATCTAGAAGGGCAGCTTGAGTGAGCAGACCAGTATGGTGGGGAGGGGTTGGGGGGGTTCCATAGAGCTAAGTCAAGATGGCTAGTCCTATTTCAACAAGTGGGTGGGGAGAGCACTGTGGAGGAAAATTTAAGGGATAGGGCCCAGTGTATCCACTAAACACTAACAGCTGAAAGACACCAAGTCCTTGAACTGCCCCTGTGAAAGACACCAAGTCAGGGCTGGGAAACCTTTATCAATCCAAGCGCCACATAATGATCCTTCTGGGGGCCACATGTCAGTGACAGGTGAGGACAGAAGCAAAAGTGAATGGAGCTACTTTAGGCCATATCCATTCATGCTAGTCCTAATCAGAGTAGAACTTTTGGTGTTAATGGACATGACTACCGAAAGTCCATTCATTTTAATGGGTCTACACTGAGTTGAAAGCCAAGAGCCCTCCTGCAACTAGTATTCAAGGGTATACTGCTTCTAAAGCTGGAGGTTCCTTTGATCTGGCACAATGATCTGCCCTCAATAGATATATCCTCTTCCTTGAATATCACCACTACCTTTTAAAGTCATCATAGGCAGTGACCATCCACATCTTGTCTCCGGAGCCAGACTTTGAAAGTCGTGTTCAGTGCTAGTCTTACTCAGAGTAGACCCACTGAGGTTAATGGACATGGTTAAGTTCGGTCCATTCGTGTCAATGGGTTGTGCCCAATGCTAGTCCTACACAGAGCAAACCCACCAAAGTTAATGAACATGACTGTCTTAGATTCATTAATTTCAATGGATCTACTCTGAGTAGACGAGCATTGGCTACATCCCTATGGATTTATTCTGATTAGGACTACCACTGATTAGGATACTACCCAATGTGATGGTGTGGTGTTCAATGGATTTGTTTTCTTGCATTCAACGTCATTGTTGTTGTTGAAAAAATGAAGGGCCATGGTCAATAAAGGCAAGTGATAGTTCAAGATTCAATAAAGGCAAGTGATAATTCAAGGATAGGGAACCTGAGGCCCTCCAAATGCTGTTGGATTCCAGCCAGCCCCATTAAGCTTACCTGTGATCAAGGATGATGGCATCAGAAGGGCCATAGGTCTTCTATGCCTACATTAATAGAAGGCAGATTGGTGATGGAGGTAGTCAGGGCAGTGAAGGCAAGCAATGGCCTAGTTGAGGGATGACCATGGCCAACTACCAGGGGCAATGATGGGATTCAGAGTCTAGCAAGGTGTGGAGGGCATCAGTGTGGGAAAACTCTTCACTAGCTGGTCCACCAGACCATCTCCGGTGTACTCTGATCCTTTCCCACCCCTGCCACAAGTACAGACCGATCAGCGTTGTCACCACAAGCAGGACTTAACACATTGTGAGATCTGGCAGCTTGTTTGCGCGGATGTTAATCAGCTCCGCCTGTCCCTTCCTTGTCACTGCCCAGTCGCTGCCACAGCCAATCTATATCCTAATCTCCATCAATTAACGAGGAACACTTTATCCCCTCTCCTTCCCTCCCCCCTCCTGCACCTCCGCTGTCAGGAGCACCCACCCCAAAGCCACAGCGATCGAGGGGGGAACGAGCCCTCCCCACATCTCAAACCCCCACCACCACCCTCTATTCACTTTCCGCTAACCTGGCGCACCCAATTAGGCGTTTGACACCCGAACCCGTTGATAAATTGTTTCTGTCATCTGTTTTCTGTCTTTCATTAAATGGGAAGACGGAGGACAGGAGGAGGGGGAGGGGGAGGACACAGGCGAGGAGGACGGGGGTGGGGTGGGGGAGGGAAGGATGGGAGATGTGATCTCCCGTGCTTAGCGAGGCTAGATACATTAATTACAAAACGGCCATTTGTGGCATGAAAAAGCATTAATTAAATTTATGCAATCATTATCTTTAAACAGTCGTATCTGCAGAATAATCAGCCCCTGCCTTCGTCTCCCTTTTCCTCCACTAAGTAGTTCTAATCCCTGCTTTCCTAGACTTTATCTCAGGATCAGACGTCTCTTCTGCACTTGCAAACTTCGGAGAGCAGACGGAGCCCAGAACTCTTGCTTCTGAAACGCCAGGCGGGACATCCTTGCAGCAGCTCCAGGATGCCAGAGATGGGAATGAGAGTCTAGGGCTGTCATCATAATAATAATAATAATAATAATAATAATAATAATAATTTATTATTTATACCCCGCCCATCTGGCTGGGTTTCCCCAGCCACTCTGGGCGGCTTCCAACAGAACACTAAAATACAATAACCTATTAGACATTAAAAGCTTCCCTAAAGAGGGCTGCCTTCAGATGTCTTCTAAAAGTCTGGTAGTTATTTTTCTCTTTGACATATGGTAGGAGGGCATTCCACAGGGCAGGTGCCACTACCAAGAAGGTCCTCTGCCTGGTTCCCTGTAAACTCACTTCTTGCAGCGAAGGAACTGCCAGAAGGCCCTTGGCGCTGGACCTCAGTGTCCGGGCAGAACGATGTGGGTGGAGACGCTCCTTCAGGTATACTGGGCCGAGGCCGTTTAGGGCTTTAAAGGTCAGCACCAACACTTTGAATTGTGCTCGGAAACGTACTGGGAGCCAGTGTAGGTCTTTCAAGACCGGTGTTATATGGTCTCGGCAGCAGAGCATCTCTCTTGCATGCCAATTGTCTCAGGCTCAGTCCTCAACAGCAGCTCCAGGGAGGGACTCTCTGCCTGAAACCCAGAAGAGCCACGGCCAGTCTGTTCAGAAAATACTGATCTAGATGGACTTGAGATGAGGCATCTTCCTATGATCCTTTAGGGCAGTGGTTCTCAACTTGTGGGTCCCCAGATGTTGTTGGACTACAACTCCCATCATCCCTGAGCTCTGGCCTTGCTAGGGTGATGGGAGCTGTAGTTCAACAACATCTGGGGACCCACAGGTTGAGGAAGACTGCTTTAGAGGAAGCCTGTATCTCAGCTTTGCATCCAGGAGGTCCCAGGTTCAGTGATAGGAGAGAGCCCTGTCCAGAATCCTGAGGAGCCACTGCCAGCATAGACAACACTGAGCTAGATGGACCAATATTCTCACTCAGCATAGGATGGCTTCCTGTAGCTCAGTGTTAGAGCCTGGAAAAGAAAAGCCTGAGAGGCACTGCTAGTCAGTGCACATTGCACTAAGCTAGGGTGGACCAATGACTCTGACAAGGTACTCCTCTTTTTTTCTGACACTCTGGTGAAGCAAACACCATCTGTAGTTGCTGGAATGATTACATTATTGACTGCCGTCGTCGCTGAAACTCAGTGGCTCTTTGGCTGTTTTAGCTGTTGTTATTAATCCCTGTCACTCCTACTGGAGGCAGGGATGGCCAACAACATGGATGGCTTTGAAAGAGGATTGGACAAATTCATGGAGGAGAGGGCTATCAATGGCTCCATGATCACAGGCAGCACTGCTTCTGAATACCAGTTGCTGGAAAGGGAAGGAGAAGAGAGTGTTCTTGTGCTTGAATCTTGCCTGTAGGTTTCCCATCGGGAGATCTGGTTTGCCACTGAGAGAACACGATGTTGGGTTAGATGAGCTGTTGGTCTGATCTAGCGGACTCTTACTTTTTTATGCTGGGACTGGCTCATATGAAGCAGCCATGACAGCAGGAGAGGGACACATCTGTTGATTTTCAGATATTGCTGCACTCCCCATTATCCTTTGCCCATGCTGGAGCTGATGACAGTTGAAGTCCAATAGCATCTGGAGGGCCACTGGTTCCCCACACCTGCAGAAAGATGTGGGGGGAAATGCAGGTAAGGCCATGATCCATGGTTTGTTCTTGTGGCTATCTCCATTGAACAAGCGGCCTGCATTCAATGACTTGGATTCATAGATTGGGAAATGCTGGTTGTGGGGCAGTGTCTCCCCAAATACTGTATTCCTTTCCTCTGGATGATGCCTTCTTAGGCCATGCATTTAAAACCCTATGATG